CGAACATACTCTCCGCATAACCAGCACCACTGACTTTCGATATTTTCTTATGCGTCTAGTGAACAGAAATGGATCTACTGCAAACTTTAACAAAAGAAAGAGCAAGGTGACCATATATGCTATCCAAACTCTTAGAGACCATTCATGAAATATCGCAATGAAGACAGTTATAGTGAGAGGCCAGGCTGCTATTATGAGCACAACTGTCAAAATAATGGTCCCGTACACAAAGTCCTTCTCTGCCCGCTGACGCTCTCGCTCACATTCTGGCCTTTGACCATTGCTGCTCTCTTCCTGGTTTGTGTCACTGAGTTGTTGAGCCACCGTGCGAAATGCGAAGTATACCATCATATAGAGAACGACAATAACAACTGTCAGCAGTGTGTTATGGACGACCAGGTCAACGAAAGTAAACAAGGCTTTGTTTATGCCTGTCATTTCAGGTAACAAGGAAAAGAAGACGGAATACACGAAGATAAAAATAAGTCCAATTACTGATGATTTCGGGGTAACCAGTTTTTGGTAAACTCTTGGGTGCTGGATCAGCAAATACTGTACGACCCCCAAAGCTAGCATAATTAGAAACGAGCTGTTCATTGTTATGAACGTGAATACTTCAGCAAAACGGTAGAACTTGTCGAAGTCTGCGCCATCAACATAGACAAATGCGAAGACGTAAATTATTACAAAGGCAGGCTCCACAATCAGGCCAATGAGGAAGTTAGCGCTTGTCAAACCAGCGATCAAAATCGCAGACGGTGTTCGAAGACATTTCAGTGGATCTTTGTAAAAGGTCAAAAGAAATATTCCATTCCCCGCAACAGTAGCAATAGAGAGGGTAATAAAAATTAAGACGATCAACAGTGATATTATCGTGAAATGATAGCCTGAACCGTTATCTTCAGATGAAGTATTTGTCGGAGCAGTTGTCGAGTTCATGACGCAGCCTTGAGAACAGCCTGAATGTATACGTTGTCTGGTTTCAGTTTTAGGCGTCAAAAACCTTAAAACACCTGAGTCGACGAGTTTACTCCTCGAGGAATCTTAAAGCACTATTTTTTTGGGCAGAATTTGAAATCCCAATCCGTCTGATCCGCGATAAGGAGCCAATTTGAACGTCTGTTGCGAACTGGCTGCCGGGAACTCTACGGGTGTGCCGTAAAGGGCGTGCGAAAGGGCGTGAGAGAGAAATCTCGAGGAGGCGTGTTCTCCTCGCGCGCCCTGTTAAAAAAAGTCTTGTTATTTCGTACGAAAAAAGTTGCTTCTAGAATAAAAGGATCCAATCATAACAATAGTACTGTTTAACGTAAATACTCTTGGTAGGTTTTTGGCCATTGCAGTTTTAAAAGGAATAACATACAAACTGCGGTTACAAACATCAGAAATAACAAACGCATTGTATATCTGACTGATCCTGACTTTTCGAACTTGACGTTTCGTATGCTTCAAACGTTTCCGCGCGAGTTCGTCGAGAAAGTTGGGAAGAGAGCAAAAAAGACTTTTTTTTATCGCTTCCGCTCTAACTTTCGCGCAAGAACTCGATTGGAAACGTTTGCTACGCAGGCTATTTTTTTGCAGAATACCAGTTGTATTAGAAAACCGCAGGTCATCTCAGGGAGAGGGGGGTGAGCACCCCCTGCACCCTCCCCCTAGATCCGCCCCTGGGGCTGGTTTTAAATCCCTGTTAAGAAGAGTATCCTTGATTTTACAATGGGTATCTGATTTTCCTTTTGCTGAAAAGCCAAAATGGTCCCATTTCAAATTGTAATGCTTACACTTGAATGTCTGTACTAAAAACTGGGTTAAAGTTCTGCTGATGCTTTTGTTTCTTCAGCCAAAGCCTTTGTTGAACTGTCTCTCTCTGAATGTCCGAGATTAGAATAAAAGGGCTAAAAATGAACAGTGGTATTTAGATGTGGGGGCTGGGGTGGGGGTACAGATGCCTCCCCACCCAGCCACAAACCAGAGACCACTACAATGTTATAATCCCCATTTTTATTTAACAATAAAATGCTTCTAGAAAATGCATTACAAAAGCACAGCAATTATAAAAAAATTACCAAAAAAACTGAACTCAGATAATAAAATTATTTATAACAAATAAGTATCAATGAAAAACATTTACCTATTGCTCTTTGTTTACTGAACTGTTTACAAAAACAGGAGCCCAGGGGCAGATCCAGGATTTATTTTAGGAGGGGGTGCACTCGTCTCTTGCTCTACTTTAACACCAATAAACCACATAGTTTTTTTTTTTGCAGAATACCAGTTGTATTAGAAAACCGCAGGTCATCTCAGGGAGGGGGGGTGCGCACCCCCTGCACCCTCTCCCTAGATCCGCCCCTGGAGCCCATGTACGTAATATAATCTATCTAGAAAAAGGGCTGCAGAACAGGACACATCACTAAACCAACCCACCTTGTCTTGTTCAAAGTTGTAGATCTAATAAATTCTGATACAAAACACGACTCAAAATAAATTAAAAATCAGAGAACAGCTACATATGTTGAAACTAGCCTATGCAAAGCTGCCCCCTCCCCTTAAACAAAATTGGTGAAGGGGTGGTTATTGTAGATAGATAGATAGAACCTAAATATTTAAGTGTCATAGTATTTAGCCCAAATAGGTCTAATAGGGGACACTAAATAAACTATTCTACTAAAATGCTAAAAGCACAATTAAAATACACAGACATAGTGCTAAAATAGTTATGACGGAATCCATCAGGCAATTGAGTACTGCATTTATTTGATTAACTGCCCTGGGCGCTTTTAAAATTTTGGATCTTGAGAGTGGGTGCTTATTCGAGGCGGGTGTTTATTTGAGGCTGAGTGCTTACTAAATTTTCAACATTTACAGCAAGTGTTGTTTGTTTATTTTGCAATAAAACAAATAGTATAGCAAAACGCTAAGATGTAACAAAGCAAGGATTCTGTAAAATACCCCGAAGAAAACTTCATCTTCGGGGAAGTCTCTTATTAGTACTTATTCTTTTTTTTGTGGTGTTAGGGGAAAGGGGGTGGGGTGGGGGTGGGCGCATATTCGAGGCCGGGTGCTTATTAACTTCTTCTGCCTTTAGGATGGGTGCTTATTCAAAGTGGGCACTAATTCAAGGTTGGGCGCTTATTCAAATAAATACGGTAATTTCAATTTTTAGTGACAAAAACCTTGTACCAGAATAATTTAAATAAAACCTAAACTACTAAGATGCTAGAATATTATTTTACAATAGTAAAATACTTATTACAACAAACATTCCATGGTTGTCCATTCGCAACAAAGTTTGCAGCAGCCTGATGATGTATTCAGGCTAGTTGAAACCACAAACTAAAACAACTATTGGTAACTTACTGTACAACACAGCTTGTGCACCCCCCTCCCTACCCCCATCATGACTATGGCCCTCTCATTCTTTGTTCTCTACACTTGCAATAAAATGTGAAAATTACTGGACCTAGTGTTTATTTGCTACCTTGTACAAAGTTTTTTTCCATGCATTCTGTGAAGTATTTTATGGGTAATTACTATTATTCTTATTTAATTTATATATCACTAATAATATTACTTCTATTTTTTTGTCATGCGGGGCAACCATTTATAATGGCTTTGCCCACCAAGTTACCTACTTGAATGAGTTATTTTTCACTTCTAGCAAAAACCTCTTGGATTATATTTTGTTCTAATTCTAAAAAAGCTAACGGAACTTCATGTCATCCAATTCGGTCTTTAATCATATGATTGACAAACAAAATTGCATGACGGCGTATAAAGGACCTCCCACTATGTGGTTGTCCAATTATGCTAAACACTTGTATAATAATTACAGTTACTGAGTAGGTCAGCTTTATTACCATGAGATAACTACAAGAATAGAGATAACTACAAGAATATTACACTACAATAGTTATATAAACAATATTGTAAGTGAACATATGCTAATACTAAAAAAGAGTTAACAATTATTTCACTTCTGGGCCGAGTTGTTCAAAGCTGGGTTAAGATAACCCAGGGTTAGTGCGAGATTTGAATTCAGATTTGAAAGCTTAAAAAGCATTTCAGTTTTAATTCTTTTTGTCTACAATTTGAAAGATTGGAAGCTCTAAAAATAACAGAGAAAATTACCCGAGAAAATGCTTTTGAACGCCAGAAAAAGAAACCCGGGTTAAATTTGACTCCGGGTTAAGCGCTAATTGGCCTTCGAACAACTGGGCCCTGGTGACAGAAAATAGACATTCACATATAACAGTTACAAGTACAAATGTTTTCAGGAAGACTAGCAAACAATTTAGCAGAGGAGTCTAAAAGTATTCAATCTTCTTGGAGTATGTGCAATGGCATCAGAGGATCTTAGGTTTGTGTAAGGTGGTGGAGACTTTGTAGAAGAAAGGTTGAAGACTCCAAGATGAAAAAGAAAACAAAAACAAATGAGACCTTGAGACTCATAGAAAATGCTTATGAGAGTTTAGATCAGATCAAAATTTTTTGAGCCTTAGGATTTCTTGGGTATCATTCACCTCAAATGAGCCACACCCACAACCATAGGCCCATAATGAAATAACAAAAGATCCCAGGTCCTATATACAATATATGAATTTTTTTTACACATGTCTCTGACCCCACTACCAGGCCCTGTGTATGGGAATTCAAGACAGTCTTTGATTCTGGATTCCACACTGTGGATTTGGATTCCAGGAACTCGGTTCTGGACTGTTGTCTGTGGAACTTGGATTCCAGATTCCAATCTTTAGTGGGATTTCTAGATTCCTTAAAAGCTGTATTCTAGATTCCACAAGCAAACTTTTCCAAATTTCAGATTCCACAAGCCAAAACTTCCCTGACTCCAGAATCCAGATTCCCTTACATTGGGCAACAGGATCTTATCATGCGCTGGCAGGCTGTTGGTTTGTTGCATCAGTGCTATCATTGATAGCCAACTGGCTATCGTTATCAAGGTCACTGGTTTCTGACAGGGCCGCAACAGCTGTTGTTTCTGAAAAGTGCCTTTGGTAGGTAGCTCCAGGTAACGTTGGCTTAAAACATGAGCACGATCTCTGCATGACCATTATCAGTGACTTCCTGTACTTCCTTAGACGCCATGCAAACACAAAGGGGTCCACTGCAAATTTCCACATCATAAAGAACTCTGTGACCATCCACGCTATCGATAAAGTTAAAGAGAATTCTTTGCCAAACAGTGCAACGAACAAAATTATGCAGTAGGGCCAAACTGTTATTATCAGGATCACTGCCAACATAATTGTCCCATAGATAAATTCTTTTTCTGCTTGGCGACGGTGTAGATCAGTAACAGGCCCTTGTTCCTCTGCGTTTTCATTAAGATCTGCATCACGGTGTCGTTGAGCCAGCCTACGAAATGCAAAGTAGATCATAATGTAGAGAATTACAACCACAACTGTCAATACAGTGTTGTGAACTACCAGTTCAACAGCATAAAACACGAATATATCAATGCCGGTCATTTCAGGTAACACAGCAAAGAAGATGGAATAGACGAAAATAAAAATCACGCCAATTATCGCTGACTTTGGGCTGACAATTTTTCCGTAAACTCTTGGGTTCTTGATTAGCAAATACTGCACGATCCCCAGAGCTAGCATAATCAGAAAAGAACTGGTGATCGTGACGGAGTAAAATGCTTCGGTAAAGCGATAGAACTTGTCGATGTCTTTAACTTTAAAGTTAACAAGAGACAAGGCAATGATTATCACAACAGCAGGTTCTCCGATAAGGCCAGTGAGGAAATTGGAGATTGACAAACCAGCCATGAAAATGGCGGACGGTGTTCGGAGACACTTCAAGGGATCTTTGTAGAAAGTCCACAAAAACATGCCATTGTTCAGGACAGTTGCCACAGATAGAAGAGCAAATCCCAGCATAAAAACTTCCGATATTGTGCGGAAATCATAGTATTCTTCGTTGTCAACAGAACTGTTTGTCGCGTTCATGATTCGTCAGGCTTCGTTAATAGTCTATTACTGCCGCCGCCAAATATTCAGTTTGCTAAGCTATTACAACCGGACTCTCGACACAGAATTCTCGATTCAGAATTCGTTTAGACCGATGTGACCTAGGAATTCCTAAGGAAGTTTAAGACTCTTTTTTTTCTCACAAATTCGTTCGCCTTCCCGTTCGACCAGGTGCAAAAGTGCAGCAAACAGAACCACTTCCTCGATTTTTCCTCTCCGGTGGACAGAGGAGGATTATATTTCCTTATGCATAGTAAAAACAGCTTCGGTCACCACCACATTCTGAATGCTCCACTAAGAAGCTTAAATATAAGTAAACGAGGAAGATATGATAAAAAATGTAACAATAACTTGATTTGCCTTGAAATAGGAAAGCAATACAATTGCATTTTCTCCCTACCCCAGAAGAATAGGTATTGTCATCTTGTTTGGGTTTATTCGCCTCCAGTTTACTTCGTCTTGTTCGCGTGGCCGATCAAAGTTTCAGAACCCTGGGCCGAGTTTTCAAGGCTCCCCTGGCTGGCCGCTGGGTGAGTTTTCATGGTAACTGTTTGTTTGTTTGTTTTTTTAAAGATCCGAAAGAAAAAATGAATTACCTTTAGTTTGGGTTATGTCTTTTAAGGCGAGATTTAGATTTCGAGTTGTACTTCCACATAACTTGAACAATTTAGATTTCTCATTAACTTTTCCATCCCCCATTGGAATTTTTTGAAGTTAAACCACAAATTTAAATTAATATTTGCTTGAAAATCTAACTGAAATTTTCTTCCAACTTTGTTAAGCATTTACGCCTCAAAAAGCCTTGCAGGCTCAATACAATAAGAGGTACAACAGTAAAGCAGCTGTACTTAAGAACCGGTCATTATTCATCGCCGGGGGTGGGGGGTTGGCGGGGGGACTTTGATTTTTAGGAGAACAAAAGGAGGGATCAGTCGTAACTGAGAACCCAAAAGGGGGGATCACTGAAAACTTTGGAAGGATTCAGAGGGGGGACCACTCAAATTTGCTTGGAAAATGAAGACATGGGGGGACCGCGAAAGTCATCAAATGTTATTAGCGGGGATCACTTCAGTTAAGTAACATTCAAAGGATCAATAGGCTAAATAGCACCTTGTTTAACCCCAAATCCTCCCCCCCCCTCCCACCTCCAACTCCCGGCGATAAATAATGACCGGTCACTTCCTGACCTGGGCTTCCTGTGGAAAGCCCAAGTCTAATGCGTCACTGCGCTCAGTTTCTCTTCTCCATTTTTGTCCTCGGCAGAAAAAGAGCATCTTGATGGCTCTGCGATAAGAAGACAGGCGCCACACATAAACGAAGCTATCCAGACACATTTTGAGGAAAATCAGTAGATCGGAGACCAGAAAAGCGATCTTCAGATTTCGAACAGCTTGCGGAGATAGGTCAGATGAATAAAGATATATTTGCGCTATTATTATGTGAGGCAAAGCTATCAAAACAAGAATAACAGCCAGGTATATGACGACTACTGTAAACTGTTTAAGAAGATTATCTCGGCGCGTTTTCGGTTTGCACCTGTCGATAAAGTTCAGCGATGTGATGTCAGATGCGATGTTTTCTGGCCAGGAGTTCCTCCGTCTAACAAGGCGTCGAAATTCAATATTCAATAGCAACAAAATGGCCATCAAATTTACTGTAAGAAACATCGAATTCTTAGCCAGGTTAATTTTCAGAAAGACGATCTCACTAATTCCTGTAATGAACTTTAAGCTGATGAAGCACACTAGATATAACAAATTCAGTAAAATGAGAATAACTGCATTTCTTTTCGTAACAATTTTCTTGAAACCTTGTGGATGTTTTATGGCAATATATTGAGACCAAGATAAAGCTAAGATGACCAGAAAGGAGAAGTTGATTGCTACAGTTGATATCAACCGTCCAGCATTGAAAAGTGTTTCCAAAACGCTGCTAACTGCCTCGTCTTCTTGGAAATAAATTATAAAGTAGTATGCAGCAAAGAACGGCTCAGTAGTAAGCGCTGTCAACAGATCCGCCAGACTTAACGCCACCATAAAAACAGTCCTCGGTGCGGTAAATTTAAAATATTTGCCTGAATCTTTCCGGCAAATAGCAAGGAGAAGTAGAAGGTTACTTATGAAAGTTGTTAATGAGAGAAGCGAAAGACAAATAGCACTTGCTAGGAACACGTAAGGCGGAACCATATTTCAGCTGGTTAACTGTTTCCGTTTGGATAAGCGCAAGGAGAATTTTGAAGCCTTGCCACAATTCCAATTTAGCTGCTCTGTTTTTACGCTACTTTAGAGTTTTACTTCCCTTGTAACTGAAAAAATAACTTGTAGCCACAACGCAGTATTCCTTATCACACAAGAGCCATGCTGCGGAGTTCAGGTTGGGCTAAAATCTCTTTTCTGCAGTCTTTGTGACAATTCTACCTGATCCAGTCGCGGCTGAATGTCATCAAAGTCATCGAAAAACCTTCGGTAGAAACAGAAGTCTTAAAAACATGTTAAGAGCTCTAATAGCCAAGACTCGTCACGTTTTTTCTGAATGCAGTGATCAATGTCTAGCGCTGCTCTCTGAAATCAGTACGAGCGCATCTGTGGCACAAGCAGGATGTCACAGTTTTTAATATATCCCTCGAACGTCGCAAATTTTAATTTTGCCTGATTAATTGCGCGAAGTAGCAAACAACTGGGCCCAAAAATATTCTGGAAATTAAACTTTTAATCAAAAATTGCGAAACCGCATATCGCTTGTTTTCCACATTAAATCCGTCGCCAATCTGCATAATAAGCCACCGAGGTATCGCAAATTAGATTGCATGTGAGATAAATTAACTTGCGTTTTGTAAATCATGGTGATATTAAGTGATATAAAAACTTTTAAACACCTGCTTTTAAAGGATCGGAAGACTCCAAGTAATCAAAGCTGTAATTGTGGACCTGTAGGGCCGGTGCCAGAGACTTCTCACGTGCGGTTTTCTGATCGGTTTCGCTAGCTCGCCTTTGGCCGAAGATGTGCCGGTCAACTTTCGGCCGACACCGTAGCCAGCGTAACATGCAGGCGGAATTGTTACTTAGCGGGAGGAAAGTTTTAGCAAAGGAACTGCAAAGCCCTGCGTTCTTAGTAATAAGTCGCCTAGCTTTCGTAAACTGCCATTGCTTGACAGATAATATATTGCAGTTTTAAATGTCTGAAATGTAGCTAAATGTGATGTTAAGTGCCAGAGAAACTTCAACAGATGGTGTTTTAAACGACTGAGGGTATTTTGTATTAATTATCGAGGTTTCATTGTTCTGCGATCGGGCCGGATTTTTTCTTTCGCGGGATCTCAGGTTAATTAAGTTGTAATTAGTGAGAAGCCAAGCCAGATTCAGCCTGGTTAAGCGGTTTTACATCTTTAATACGGGATTATTCTACTCACTGCAATCCCTAGGCTCTCTGACCCTGGCTTCATAAGACTTAATTAAGGTCTCGGTAAAGGAAAACGAGGTGCCCACAGAAAAAAATTCTAGTCGCGCGAGTATTTTCGCTACAAAGGCAAGTTATATATCAAATTAAAGCTAAAAGACTAAATTACCTTCTAAAAAATTTTATTTTATCGAATTTCAAAAGGTGCTTAAGTTTTTTGTTCTCGAACTCAGAGGTATCGAGTTTACTGCTGAAGCTCCAGCCCTTTCGCGTTGTTAAATATTCACTTCCTTTTTTTTGCATCTGATTGACAGATAAAAGACCTAAAAAAGGGTGTGAGGAAATTTGCATATGTCTCGTATTAGCGGAATTATTGCATTTCAAACTAAAAAGTCGAATCTCGAGCGCGATTTACGCAAAGAAACAGGCATAAAATGAGTTACAAAGGGAAATCGGAAAATTCCTCACACCCTTTTTGAGTCTATATCATTATCCATCATATTTGAAAGTTTCAAAGCGATAGCTTAAAACCTGTCCCGACTGGAGGTCGGAGAATTTTGATTTTTGCGTCTAAAATAGAGTGAGAGAAAATCAGCTCTAAAGATTTAGCGCGAGGTCCACGCTTGCCTGGTTAGCTCAGAAGAGGCTCATTTTAGAAGGGTTAAAAAGCACTTTCTGATTTTCTTTTTCTGCCAAAATAAAATTTAGGACTCACTCATGCCAAAAATCCCAAAAAAACAAAATCGAGCAATGTACTAAAATTTTCATTTACCGAGACCTTAACTCTAACCTTAATTTCTTTCTTTTTTCTTCATAAATGATTAATGTAATTTTAAAACACAGAAAAAGAAAGCCGCCTCGTGAAATTTTTGGAGCTGTACGGAGTGGAAGTTTGTTAAAATTATAAACTTCCGCATAGTAACTGAATCGTTTCCGAACAGTTACCGAATAGATTCCGTATAATTTCCGAACTTAAAAGTTCGGCTGAAACTATTCGGAAACACGAGCTTATGCAAGAGAGAAAAGAGGGGTTTCATGAAAATCGTGACGTATTATTGGCTATCACTTAATCCTCTTGGTTTTATGGCCAATATGGGGGCCGGTTAAATCTCCTATCCTTTATCCTATCTTGCTAAAGGCTACTCTCATTTGCAGCGCTTAAATCTCACAATGTTGAAAACGGCGTGTTTTGCGAGTCATTTTTGGCCAAAATTTGACTGAAAACTGAGGCGAATTGTTCTCGAACAAACTCACTATTATGTCCATGTGATCGAAAATTCATTGTTTGAGTTCAAGCTAGGATATCTTTAAATAAACCTTAAATATGCGGCTAGTTAATTCTGCGTTAAGCGAGATAGTCGAAAACCGCAATATTTATCTGCCTCAAGGTATCACACATTTACATCTTGGGAAGATTTTTTTTTCATTCTCCCTCACCAAGTTCGTCCGGATGGAAAATACTTTCCTTCTAATTTACCCTGCGAGCAGAGGCTACATTTTCGCGGTATGAGCTGGCGTGCGAAAAGTAGCCTCTGCCGACAACCGTTCAAATCCGTCCAGAAATCTGGACGAATAAATTAAAAAAAAAAAAAAAAAAAAATTAATAATAATAATAATAATAACAATAATAATAAAAATTAATAAATAATTTAAGTTAAATATTATCATTATCATTAGTAAGCGCATATCCATTAAAGTCCCCTTCTCCTGCCTTTATGCATCTGCGATACAAATAAAAATATATTTATAGTTGTGACATTTTCTGAACTCGTGCAGTCGTTGGTGAACTTAAGTGTATTTTATGAACTGAGTTGTCTTTACTGAACTATATTGTCTTTATTGAACTATAAAAATTAGACAAACTAAGTATTTATAGTTGTTTCATAGATGTTTTATACGACTTGAGACGGATTTTGCCGTTGACATTTAATGTCTTCGGCATGCAGCTTTTACTTGCGTGAAATGATCCACGATCCAGTTAGTATTACGCGAATTGCTTTTAAGGATAAAATTATGGGTTTTCGAATAAAATTTTTCGATAAATAATTTTTCTGACTACTGTTTTGTCTATGTTCATTCATAACATTAGTTTAAAACACAATCGTGAGACTACAGCATCCAATTTCTTTCAAACATCACTTCTGCGTAGCGTTGTCGGCGAATTTCATTTTTCACTTTGAGCACAACTATAAATAGGTAATATTAAAGCCGGAAAAATGTGCTCCTCGCAAAACAGACAGAACTTACTACAGTTGATAGTATAAAAATACTTTCCTAAAAAAGACGATCCGAGGAAATTTTGCAGCCAAAATAGTTAAACCAGAAGGGGCGAAGCAGAAAAACAAAACAGAAGCTTGAGGAGAGTAGTTCGCAGGTAGTTTTCGCAAGTTTGATTCCCGCGAAACTCACGCAGATTTTACGAACCAGTTGCTTGCGAATCGCGTGACGAATTTTGCGCGAAAATGTAGCCTCTTCTCGCAGGGTACTTCTAATTCGGACTACACAAGAAAAACAGAGACAAAAAGACAACTAGACAAAATACAGGTTGGGTAGCTTGTTTCAATGAATGGCACATAATACTTGCTATGCCCTCAAACGAAGGAAAATTCATGTTGTTGTTGAAAATTTGCCCCTTCCCTGCCCCCTCCTTTTTAACTTTTACTTTTCTTGTATAGCTATATGAATTGGCTCTCAACAATCAGAATACATTTGACATAAAATTTTCGTCCTAATTACGGTACTTTTGCGCCAATGGTTCCAGTTAGAGAGAACTTTATATACATTGCGGACCTTACTTCTGTTAATAAACTCCTCTTCTTTTCCTAAATTTTAACCAAATATTTAGACAGTAGGCTTTTAAAAAGTAAATAAGGCAGGGATGAAAGAATGACTGAAGAGTTTAAACCCTGGGATCAGGATAAAAAAAAAAAAGCTCCAACTATTTTGCTAATTTTAATTTAATGACTAAATCCGAGTCTGTTTAAGTAAGAAGTAGGTAAATGTAATACGCCTTTAAAATAATTGAACAATTAAACGCGGGATGCATGTTTAAAATAGCTTGATTTCACACGTTGAATGGGTTGAAATGGAGACAGAATTAATGGCGAAGCTTTTCAAAGACCAGTTCCCCTTTCATCCTAGAACCACAAACGGAAATTATATCCACGCTAATGAAGTAAGCGTTTTGAAACTCTCCGTCTTGTCAATCAGCCAAAGTTGTTTTAACATCTATAATGCAGCTGTTTTAAGAACAGTTGTCAAATTTTGCATTCGAAACAAAGAAAAATCAACAATTGTGCTTGAGTTTTGACAAGTACCTAATAGAAAAAATAACAAATGAAATTTTCGCATGGAGGTTTTTCCCGGTTTGATGAAAACGAACATTGAGCGCTCAAGCGATTAGCGTAGTTAAACGTCATTTTTAATCACATAGGACACCTTCAGTGATCGTAAGCTAGTTTTAGTAGCAAAAAAAATCATTAGCTTAATCATTAGCTTAAATTGTGTGTTTGACTCAGTACTCCACCTCCACAGAAAATATTCCACAATTTAAAGGCCTCGCGTCAACGTTTATATATGTGATAGCTCTGAAGATGTTGAATTACCAGTTTGATTATCATCCAGACATAAAATTCGACAGATATCTCTCCGGAAAAAGAGCATTTTGATGGTTCGGCGATAAGTAGGGAGTCGCCACGCATATACGAAGGTATCCAGGCAGACTTTGAGAAATAAAAGTAGATCAGAAATTCGGAGCGCGATCTCAAAGTTTTGAATTGCTGGCGGAGAT